CGCCTGGGCTAGGAGGCACCTTCCCAGCCGCATGCGCGAGGCAGGCGGGCCTCGCCAAGGCGCTTCGCCGCCGAAGCCGCAACGGGAAGAGCGAAAAAGGGGCCGCCTGACTGCGAGGCCCGGCTTGGTGCCCTCCAGATGTGTGGGATTACAGCTCCCCCTTTTCCTAGTCAGAGTGCCCAGGGACAGGAGATGGTGTCGTCCCACCAAGTCGGAGCACAGTAGTTTAGCCTCTCTCCGGATAAGTGGGAGCTAGTCCCCGAAAACCGGCTAATTGCAAACAAAAAGCTGGATATTAGCCCAGTTGTAGCAAAATGTCAGTGACAAGGGCCGGGACTGCCAGCTTGGCTGGGACTGGGGGAAAGGTAGTGTTTTAGGCAGTTCCTTCTCCCGATGTTGGGAGGAAGAACATTTACTTCAGCCCTGCCAGGTGATGCGCGCTTAACCCTGGGTTGGTTCCAGGACCCGTCCCGGGTGTAAAACACCCGCGAAGCCTTAAAAGAGAACACTCTTCGGCGACATAACGAGGGAAAAACAGAAAAAGTTGCTTGGAGCGTTTTTGTGGTCGAACTGAGGCGGAGGCAACGGACCGCAGCCCTTTGGAGAAACAAGCCCCGCCGGACCACGAGAAGAGCCAGCTCCGCGCGCCCGGTCCCGCGCCCCACCTGGACGCGAACTCGAAACCAAAGCCACATGATCCGGCTCAAATGATCCCTCACATGATCGCGGGTAGCGGAAGGGCTGGTGACGGTAAAAGGGTGAGCCGAGGAGGAGGAACTAGGAGCGGTCTCCTCTTGGACTAGGGATGCAGAGCGAAGCGGTGGCCGCTTTGGAGCCATTGCAGCCGGGTAGGTACGCCTGCCTGCCTTCCTTCCTTCCCTGCCGCGTTACGCTACGCGTGTCTTGTTTGTAGAACTTCGCAGAGAGACGTAAACCTAAGGAGGAGTCATTAGGTGATGATATCCGTTTTATCGAACCGGCTTTTCCTGTCCTTTCCCACCTCAGGCTCGCTACTTCAGCCACTTCTTTGCGCCTCTTCGGATGTTGCATTTGACGTGAGGGAAATGCAGAACGATTCGCTGCTTTAAGGAGTTGTCAACAAGCGCTACGTTCACCCACGCACCGTTTTGCATTGAAGCGGAAGTAGATCACAGCTGCGGCCAATATGCTCAGCATTTATTTATTTATTTTATTTATTTATTTGATATAAATCAAATTTATATCACCGCCCAACTCCCCCACGAGGAGGGACTCTGGACGGTTCACAACCAAACAGTTAAACCAATAAAAACATAAATAGCACAGCATAAAATACAATTATTAAATTGTATTTTATAAATTTGATAAAATCCAAGCGATGGTGGTATTGTTGCAGCCTGTGACCAGATAATATTGGTCAGGTAGGACTAGGGAACCAGCCATCCCCAAAACTGGCTATTCCCATCCCCACTCCATGCATAATAACAAAACCAGGTCTTCAGTTTTTTTCTGCATTCTAAGAGGGAGGGGGCCAACCTCACTCTGGGGGAAGGGTGTTCCAAAGGGCAGGGGCTGCTGCAGAGAAGGCTCGCCTCCTAGACCCCATCAGATGAAATTCTCTTGCAGACGGGGTCCGCAGCATGCCCTCTCTGCAAGACCGGGTGGGACGGGTTGATGTAACAGGGATGAGACGGTCCTTCGGGTACCCTGGATTTATTTGTTTATCCATCCATCCAAGCTGCTCTTTATTGCTAAAGCAGTCTCAAAGTGGGGATATGACAAATTTAAACAACTGACAATAAAACCTCTAGAAAATTCCCACATCTTAAAACTTAAAAACTGCTGGCTGGAACAAATAAAAATCTGTAGTAACATACAGCAAGCACAATGAATATCAAGAAAACAGATTTCAATTCTGCTCAATACACATAATGTTCAAGTCATATTGCACAATGAGGATATTGTGCACATTGGTCAGTTAATATGTGGTAGCTCCAGGTGAAGAATGGACAATCCCTTAAACATCATTTCTGTTAGTCGATGTCACCAGGTATTGTTTGGATTCTAAAATATTATTCAAAGTCCACCTACAGATGCTATTCATTGGCCATATTGTCTATGAAATCAGGTAAACATACATAAGGTTGCATTCATATATGTACCTTGTTTGAACATGCAGATAGCTGGATTCACCCACCAATTTAAACCAACCCACTTTGGTTCACCTTCACCCAGGCCTTTGGTGAGGGAGAGTGAAACCTCTCACTTCCTTCCGTCTGGTCTGTTGCACTTGCCATCTTTTATTGGTTTTATTGTAATTTCTTTCTTTGATTGTTGTGAGCCACCCAGGGTCACTGGGAATCAGGTGGCATAGAAGTTTACTAAATGATGATGATGGCTTGAACCAAGATAGTGATTGGCCATATGCACATTCTCCAGTCAATTCATGTTTATCAATTGCATTACTGTAATTCATCCATTGCCAACCTAGCAATCGATTAAGAATAAAGGAAACTGTTAGGTCTTGCTTTGGATATCAGTTGCTTCTGCGTTCTTGTACCCCTTTCCCTAAAAATTGGTGTAGCTGTCAAGCTATTTTTATATTTGAAACACAGTTTTATAAACATGTACATTTCACTTCCACAATATGCACTTTATTGTATTTTTCATGTTTTCTGCTCTTCAAAAGAGATGTGGTGTTGAACAGAGGTTTCAGTCAAGCAGAATGGAAACTTGAATATACCCTTTATGTTGCTAATTCCATTTTTAACTCAGTCGTTCAAAATCGTTTGGTTATTTTTATTTTGTGTGTGAAATACCAATGATAGTCTAGTGATCTGGCAATGCTGAAATAATATTTATTTACTCATTTTTACTCATATTGTCTCTTTCTTGTTTGTTCACTTCTCATTTTGCTAATTAATTTTTTATAATAATTTTTATTAAAAGATTTAGTTACAACAGTGAAAAATAATACAAAAGAAAAAAGAAAAAAAAGATGCAAAGAAGAAAAAAAATCCCTAAGAAAGCAATTTCTCACCTTCATCACCACAAGTATAAACAATTTCATAATCTCTTCACCTCCTCTTAATTAACAGATACAAATCCCATAACTCATCTCTAACCTAGGCAAATCCAATCAGTAATGTCTTCTCCAATCCAGGTGTCAGCAAAAAGTCCAAACAGAGCCCTAAAATAATAACATTAATTAACATATATAAAACTCCGCATTCCACATCTCAATTCTTGGCTATGCACTAAAACCACATTTAAAAGGCATAAAGTGGTCCCAATATCCTAATATAAACAAAAAAAGTTTAGCATGACAGAGGGACCATTTCTCCTTTTAAAAAGCAAGCTCACCAATATCCCTTCTTCTAGAGTAATTGTAGGGAAAAAAGCTTAAACACTATATTAACTGTAAGCAAACCTAATACACAACATTTTTCCATTCCAGATGCCAACAGTTCCAAAGAGAATCACCCAAATAGCAATATATCCCATTCTATGTCTCAACCATTAACTATAAACAACCCCCCATTTAGCAAATATAAAGTAATCCCAGTATCCTAATACAAACAAAAGGCTAAAATTTAACATAACAAAGAGGGATAATTTCTCTTTTAAAAAGAACAAGTTCACAAAACTTAAAAAGACAGTTAAATACAGAGCCAGTTTAAATGCTGTCAAAGTAGGACGGATAAAGTAACTGTAAGGGAAAAAGCTTAAACACCGTGTTAAATGTAAGCAAATCCAATACACCTAATTTTTCCAGTCCAGATATCAGCAAATCCAAAAAGTACCACCCAAAATAGCAATGTCCCATTTTAGCCCTGGTGAAATAAGCCAACTTTGTGTTCCTTCTTTTTGCACAAAGCAATCTTGCTCTTTAATCCATTCAGATGGTTGTTGAACCTTGTTTCTAATTCCTTCAGTATTTTATACAGCCTCTCTTGTAAGTCCGGCAAAAAGAAATTGTTCCAACTGCTCTCCAAGATGGTCATTTTTATTCCTTCTTAATTTTTAAAGCCTCATCCAATTTCTTCTTTATATCTGATGACAAATTCTTATTCAAATTCTCATTCATGTTCTTGGGTAGACTTGCATATCTTTTTCTGTGTAGGATCTTCTTCTGGGAACAGGCTGTTCCCCAAAAAAACCCACAGCATAGCTGACATAATTAATTCAAAGTCCCTTATGATGGAAGACTTGAGTGAGGAGGTCCAAGGTCATGGGGAGAGTGAGAAGAATCTCAAGCATCCCCTCAGCCCGCAGGCTGAGCGTGGGAAAGCCAAGAGGATGAGACTGGCACCACCCTAAGGAATTCGGAGTGTTTAGTTGCAGTCTTTGGGG